TGTCCCAAGGGGAGGTGAAGGCTGTGTAGTCAAGAAGCAAGATATCTGAATAGGTCAGGGGTCCAGATTAAGCAGCCACTGGCCTGGTGGGATGCACATTTCAGCTTTATGTGCACCACTGGTGTGATATGAGGCTTCACGTAGGAGAGGTCTGAAGGTTTTGGGTACCTTTGGGAGGTGTGGGAAGGAGAGGGATGGTATGATTGTTTCACTATCACTGTTGAATTCCCTTAGTCCTCCACCCCCTTTTGGCTCATTGGTCTGTTCCCATTCCCATGCTTACTGTTCCTTAAATGATCCCAGAATTCTGCTGTGTGCAGTAGGTTCTGGATCCATGTAAGCAAAGGGGGGGGGGAGGCCTATGCCGGAACCAAAGAGAAATAGGTTCAGGAGTGTGCTACCTTATGACATCGACCAGCACTTGTGTCCAGGGTGTGGGGGGGGGAGGTGCGGCGGACAATATAATTATGCTTTTGTGTGTAAACTTTCTTGTTCAGGATGTTACAAGTGTTACTGAATTGCTTTACCAATTTTCATAGAGGAATTCTGAACTGCGGTATAAAAAGTCTGATGTGAAATTTCATCCTGATTATACATTCCTCCCCAACAGTCTTACGTAGCTATATCAGTGTGAAACAGCCTCCAGAACACTTAAATATTGGGGAAGAAGAAACTTGCTTTTTAAATTTTGTAATCACATGGTCTTCTTGAGATGCTGAGAAAGTACTGATAAGACTACCTATCTTATCAGTTATATTTCCCACACATAGAGATAAGCACCATCTAAAACCTCACTTCTTGGATCTCAATTTCAAACATTCCTAAACTCAGATGGTACTTAGAAGTGCAACTGGAGCTCAGCTCTATCCAATATCAAGCTGATTCTCCTTTATTGCCCTACTAATTAATAGTTAGGCCAGTAACATCGCCTCCATTTCCCCATCTATAAAATCTAATGAAAGAAGTACAGAGGCTTAGGTGATTTTTATTTCATTTTTCTTTACTTTCATAACTGACACAGCAAGTCCAGCAGTGCCGGAGCTATGAAATGCTAACCCTAGAGGTGCCGGAGTTCAGCCCTGGAACAAATTAAGCACTGATCCCTGAGGGTACATCTACACAGCAGTGTTATTTCAGAATAACTGACTTTATTCCGAAATAACACTGTCCGCGTCTACACTACAAGCAGTTATTTTGACATAATGTCAAAATAATGGCCAGCTGGAGGACTTCTTACTCCAACTCTTGTAACCCTTATTGTATGAGGAGTAAGGGAAGTCGGAGGAAGAGTGCTCTAACTCTGACATCCTGCTGTGTAGACAGTGTCAAAAGCCAAAATAAGCTATTTCGGCTTAAGCTAGGCAATTGACGTAGCTGAAATTGTGTAGCTTGTTTAGCTTGTTTTGACTTTAGCGCTGCAGTGCCCAGAGAGCTGCAGGCTATATTCCTGGTCAGAAATGCTTTGGGAAGGATGCTGCAGAAGGGGTGTGCTTTTTAGAGAGGGAATGGTTGGCATAGGAAATGATGCGAGCTCAGTGTGGCTCCTGTGCAGTCCTTCTGGGCAAAAGAACGGTGGCTATAGACTTGTGCCTTCAGTGTATTTGGAGGAATGTTTGGGGCTGTATGAAATATGCTGAAAATACTCAACTAGTTAAAAAAGAGTTACCACGCTTTTAAAAGAATGCAGAAGGTATGCATATCACACCTAGCAATATGGTTCCCTCTCTTCCAAAGGTCTGAACAGATTGTATAAAGCCGTTTTTTACTCTCTAAAATATTCACTAAACTGGACTATGTAAACAGTTTGACGTGACAAGGTATTTTAGAATGACCATTGCTCAGTTTGCTTAATTATTAACTAGCCATCAAGAAACTATTTCATCAGCTTTCTTGAATTCACTGAAATGTGGTGAGTTATGGGGGAAGTTGAAACAAATTACATGAATCGTGATCTGAGCTATTTTTCATTGACTGTTGTTGTTAGGGGTTCACGCTCAAGAACTATGGCAGAGTTCCTGCAGACATTATTCCCCCCGCATAAATGCGGCAGTTCTCAATCAGGAATAAGTATATCATTTGCGGTACACAGTGACCTTCCATGGGGTACATCAATTCACCTAGAGTCTTGCCTAGGTTTACAACAGGCTACATAAAAAGCAGTAGTGGCTTCAATGCAAACTAAAATTTCATACAGATGATGATTTATTTATAGTACTCAATATGCTGCACACTGAAATGTAAGTGCATGATTTATATTTTAATTCATTCATTTTATAATTGTACGGTAAAAAGTGAGAACATTAAAAAATGTCAGTAGTAGTGTTCTGTGACACTTTTGTATTTTTATGTCTGATTTTGTAAGCAAATAGTTTTTAACTGAGGTGAAAAGCTGAGGTATGGAAAGCAAATCAGATTCCTCACAGTGATACAGTAGTTTGGAAAGGTTGCGAGTCACTGTATAACTGTAACCCCTTGGGTACTCATAGGGGACTATTCATGTGAATAAAGAATGTGTGAAAATTGGCCGGACTGAGGCAGATATGTGCAGCATTCAGTACTGCAAAAACAATTTACCACTCTTGGTTTGATCAGTCTGTCACTTTTCTAGGGTTTTTCTTTTTAAAAAGAGTGTTAGAAAGTTTGGACCAGACATAGCAACCTTCAGAAATCTAGTAGTGTTTATAATATAGTTACAGTTGTTTTAATTGAAACAAAAACTAAGCAAAAACCAAACAACTCTCCTCTTTCCCCCACAACATGACAACTGGTAATGTAGTACCAAAGTATGTCAACTTTGTTCCGCTCATCAGGAGCTGTAGTATTCTGAAGTGCCGGTCAATGAGACCAAATTAGGTTGAATTAGGAGGGTTGCTTTTGTTTTAAGGCTCTTTTTCATTTTGGCATTCAAAGTGCCTTTGATTTTACTGGGAAAAGGACTCCAAATTTCTTCACTTACTGCCTGAGCTGTGGCCCTGTCTAAGATTTGAGGAAATCATCCAGGGTCAGTACTCTTCCATTTACATTACAGTAGTTTTCATGCCCTCCCATCTGTCCATTCTTGGGTCTAAATACAAATAGGGAATTCATGAAGATATTATTACAAACAGATTAAAATGATTCACCCCATCAACTGCCACTGCTCATCATACTTGGGACTGAAATCACTCCACTGACATACTTAAAAATGACACTGCCCAGAAGCCACCCCCATTGGAATTGTTGCTGTTTGGCAGCTATGCTTTGGAGCCATTTACTCCATAAAGTTAATCTACTGTCACGTACACTGAGCCTTGGCCTCTAAGTGGGAAAAAAAATCACCATCAGAAGCATTCTGTTTGTGGATGTCTCAGCAGGAGTGCCTTCAACAGAACCTCAGTTAACATTTCTTAAAAGAAAAAAGTCATGCTGTTATGAAGAGATGAGAACACCTCAAGATTTGGCTTCAGACCCTGAGGTCAAACATCCCAAAGTTCATAGATGGAGAAATGGTCTGAAGTAAATAGAGGGAAAGTCAAGAAGGAGAAATGCAAAGTACTCCACTTAGGAAGGAGCAATCAGTTGCACACGTATGCAATGGAAAATGGCTGCCTACAAAGGAGTACTGTGGAAAGAGATATTGAGGTCACAGTGTATCACAAACTGAATAGGCATGAACAGCGTAACATGATTGCAAAAAAGCAAAACATCATTCAAGTTGGGGCCATGGGTAGCTGCAGAGCCCTGGGCACGAGGCTGCTGGTTGGGACCCCAAGGCCTACAGTGAAGCTGCTGGGACCCTAGGCAGCAGCTGGCCCCTCTGGGTGCATCCTGGCACCTGGGACCCCGGTGAAGGGAGCAAAATCTGGGGGGTGCCCCATGCCCCTCCTTCCTACTTCTATGCTGGTTGTTAGAGCAAAAGAGAGAGTCAGATCTCTTTGGGCAAGCCACTGAATGTTCTTGTGCCTCAGTTTACCAGAAAGTAAAAGGAGGTAATGTTTAATTAAATGTTAATGTTTCATTAACAGATCTTTACATGTAATGTGCTACGTAGGAGCTCCTCAAGTGTTACACTCAATCAGCCAGATTGTCTTCTCACTTAAACTCATGTAAATGAGAAGTAACTGAAGTCAATAGTGTACCAAAAGTGCAAAGGGATGTGAGGTCAGAATTAGGCCATTAGTATTTGGCAAAAGTATTTATCATTATCATCAGATGCCCATCTCCATTACAATACTCTGAAATGTCCATCAGTAGAGTCAGATTTTGGGGCTAAATCCTTTCAGGCTCAAACAATTTTATAATGATCATATTGAATACTGGGACAAGTAAGGAGTTGCTCAGCATTAGTTTAATGAGCTGCCTCTAAAAATCACAAATACTGCATTCCTTGGAAGATTATGGATTCCTTTCCTCTAATTACGCCTCTACTGAGGAGACATGAGGCTTTGCAATATGCTCTGCTTAGCCCTGAATGAACCCCCATTTACTCCATATTTTCTACTGCAGGAATTCTTTCAAACATTGCACAGATGGAATTTCACATCTGACAAAAGAAGCAGATAAAGTTTATTGAGCAACATTTATATTGCTGGAGTTTGCATTACTATTTCATACAATCATGCCTCTGGCGTGTTCTGCAATACAATTGCTCTCTAGAGACTTATCCTGGTTAATGCTCAGTTTTTAGTAGCAGGAAATGACAAAGTGTTATTTAGTAACTATTAAGTAAATAGTCTTGAACTTTTTAAAATAAAAATTAAACCCTTTGCTTTTCCAGTTTTGAAGGTGTTAGGGAACCTCACACAGCAAATGTAATTTCCTTGAATTATTAGGCAACTGCCTCTGCTAAACTGTGGCAAAACATAAATCCTCCTTCCTGTTTAACAGAGTTTGGCTGTTCCCTTCTGCTAGTGATGAAAAGCTGACAGCAACAGAGATTTCACCTTCAACTCAAACCGATGAGGGGATAATATTCTGCTCTGACGAAACTCGTGCAGCTCTTCATTATCCAAGGTCTCATTTTGAATACATTCCTCATTCTCTGTTTGCGTGCTTCTGTGAGCTTGCCCTATTTTGGAGAATTGGTTATGCCTCACAGGCGATCAGAGCAGTCAGGTGCGGGACCGCAGGCAAAGAAGACATTCTTTGATAATACGGTGGGAAGCTACTTAGATGGCTTTATAAGCAGGTATCTAACATATGGGGGGAAATGCATAATGCTATTTCTTTCCAAAGGGAAAGCTGATGGTATGTGAAATAATATTTTAGGCTTGGACCTTAAGAGATGTCTATTTTGAATTTTGCAAGCCAGAAAGAGATCATTTTTTAATAGCTGAGTGTTGTCTATTTGCTGTCCAAAATAAGGCACTTGATTTGTGGCTGAAAAGTTATCTAGGATAAATTAGTAACTGAAAGAGTAGGATATTTTTGTGTAAAATGCCTCACACATTTCACATATTCTGAGTTGTATGTTTCTTATAGTTAGCATACACATTCCTCAGAGCAGGGATTGCATGTTCCTTTATGTTCTGTATAGTACTGAACATACAAATAATACCTGAAGTTTTGATAAAAGTTTAATGATATGGAAAAAGAACTTTGTCAGTGTTATTGGGGACCCTTGCCCATTACCGTGATACAAATGTATCATGCATCAGACTAATGAAAGAGCTCCCTACCATTTAGAATATATTTTAAAATGTCTTCCTCACATTAATATCCATGTGCTAGATAATTTCAAGATAATGCACCATAGCTTTCTTTGCAGTTATTGTTCATCATGTGAAAACCAGGAAAGCACCGTTCCACTAATGTGCAAAACTTTGCAAACACTTAAAGGTGCTTTTGTAGAGCAATCCTGGAAGACTGTTAAATCAGGATTTCACACACATACACTCACATCCCGCAGCACAGAGTCCTAACTGCACTTTAATAACAAACCAACCAAACATATTTATTCACAAAGCAGAATTAACTCAAGAGCATTTTATAAAAAGAGTCAAGATCCATGCCAGAGCTGAATATAAACACATGTAAAGCTTATAGGTCACATAATAAATACACTGTGCCATCATTGCTGCTGCTTACTGAAAGAGACACCAGTTTGTGAAAAATAGGAAAAGTACCTTTTGAATTCTTCCATCGATATCCAAATAGATACACTTGTGCCGGTAAGTTGAAGAGCCAGATCCCATCTTGCTATAGTTGGACTTTTACTGTACTTTCTCTGTGTCAAATATATAGCAGGAAAAACAAGGCTGACACACCACTGTCTGATACTTCAGTATCTGCTCTTCTTTATCCCACAGCCTCATGCTAAGAAGGTCCCTCCTCTAACATGCATGCATTTTACTGTGGCTGTGTGTGTGTGCCACCTCCTCTTAGTTTTTCTTTTCTCTGACTCCAGCTGCAAGCTGCCTTGGACAGGGAAAGACAGGCTTCAGATCCTGTCTTCAAGTGCCCTCCTGATTCCCATAGCAACCCCCTTTGACTTCAGAGCTGGGAGCCTGCGGGCAATCAGTCTGTAATGCTGTACTGGAGAGCGGGGCTTGATTAGTGGCTTTCAACACACAAGACAAAGTGCCACTTATCACTGGGAGAATCCTCTACATTAGACTGCAGTCCGTGTCACTCATTCGTATGGTGAAATGGAAACAGAATTATCAACTAACAGCTATCCTTTCATTTGCCTTTTTGTGTATTTTAAAGACGTTTGGCAGACTCCCAGCTGCACTGAATGCTGACACAACCCATTTAAAAACACCATGTCGCCAGAACTGGGACTGACCCAGCTAAAACTAAGCAGATACATCGCTTTTGTTATCATTGCACAGACACAAGACCGACAAGAGTCACAGTAGCTAAAATGTAAACCACAGGCAAATGTTAGAAGAAAACAAAACCCACCTGTTGCTATTGACCAATGTCCTAAATGCAATTCCTCTGTTTTTAGAGAAATCCGTATTTAGGGAGATGTTAAGTACTCTGGGACAGATGTACTACATTTGAAAACACCATCTGAAAACTGGAGAGAGCCATACATTTGCTGTTTGAATCTAAGTGCATTCCCAATTCCATCTGCTGAATATCTGCCTTGTTTTGCATTGTCAGTATCTGAACAAGAACAGAGGTTGGCAATTCTCCGTGACAGTGTGAAGAGATTTTCAGAGAGAGAGCAATTCCTCTGACTTCACAAGGCAGACACCATCAGGCAAGCTGCGAGCAGGCAGAACTGCTGGAAATAGCGCATTAGGTTACTTCGATTTCTAAGCGCTTTCTGCGGCTTTTGGTGCTTCTGCAGCTGAATGAACAATAAAATATTTCACTGATTCTTTTGTTTGGCAGTCTGAGAGAAACTATGGAAGACTCGAAACAGTAGCTACACTGAGGGCTCATATCTGCCTCTGGGTATGTCTACACTACAGCACTAATTCGAACTAACTTAATTCGAACTAAGCTAATTCGAACTAGTGCATCTAGACCTAAAACTAGTTCTAATTAGCATTTTGCTAATTCGAACTAGCATGTCCACAGAGTGGACCCTGAACCGAGGTTAAGGATGGCCGGAAGCAGTGCCGGCAGGGCATCAGGTTAGGACTTAGAGCGTGGAGCTGCTGTCTC